GCGAAGAATCCATCTTCTGGAGTTCAAAATGAATCCACATGCAACCTGTGATCATGCAAGTTGGGTAACGGAAAAAATAATTCAACTCCTTCTTGACCAGTTTAAGATATTTGTCACATTGACAGTGTTTTGACTGGGGGAAAGTTTTAAAAGCTGGGTATAGTGGCATTACTTGTAGTCCAGCTACCTAGGGACGGCCGGCAGTACGGAGGATCAGTAAGCGCCAGCAGTTTGAGCAGGATACACTGTGATAGGTAGATAACTATAATGAGATGTTTCAAATAATTGGTACTAATTTCTGAACAACCAAACGTTAGAATTAAAGAGCCTATATATTTTTTGGGGGGGGTTTTCTTGCTTCTAATTCTAGAAAGTCATGAATCAAAGAAACTAAGTTTAAAAACTGGTCTAAACTACATTAACCTTTTATTTCAAGTAAACTTCTGAAAGTATTTGTGTCCATAATGAATAAGATTATCATAATACAAATTATACTATATCCAGTAGATTTCACTGTTGCAGTGTATCTGCGATTTGATCATGTGACTGAAAATTAAAAGCATAGTCTGATTTAATATCATATATTAGTAAGAATGAAAGCATAAATTAAAGGAGTCCATTAGGACTGTTAACTTTATAAGGGCAGAGCTTTTGCTAAGTTAGATCATATGACATTATAGTTAATATATTGAACTATAAGAGGATAGTCACTTCTGATAGAATTAGTATTCATAGAACTATATGTATTTTATCAGATTGAATATAAAACAGCATTAATACATAATGTGTTTTATTAATTAATTTAAAATAGTCAGAAACTTTATTATATTTTTTGAGACACGAGTTCCACTTTGTTCCGTACGGGCTAAGAATGAGTGCATGGCATCCAACCTAGCTAACAGAACCGGTAGAACTCCTGGCTCAGCGATCCTAACTGCTCAGCTCTTAGTGGACTACAGCATGCACCCACAATGCCCGCTAATTTTCTAGTATATATCTAGTTGGCCATTAATTTCTTCATATTAATAAGTAGAGATGGCGGGGTCTCGCTCTTGCTCAGGCTGGTTTCGAACTCCTGACCTCGAGCAATCTGCCTGCCTCGGCTTTCCAGAGTGCTAGGATTACAGGTGTGAGCCACCACACCCAGCCAAGAATTTTATTTATGTGATTATTTTCCTATTTAAGCAATCCTCAAGTTCTAGTCTCCATGTATTAAAAGTTCACATTTTGTAAGTGATATATCATTCCCTCATAATATCTTTTGTTTAACTTAAAACATTACAAATAATATTTGATGTATTTCAGATGCAGCAGGAGTTGGAAAAAAACATAACTAGAGAACTAGAAGAAGGTATGTTGCCAAAATATATGATTTAAATTTAGATTAATTTATTTCTCAAATAAACTGTGAGTAGCAAATGACATCCCTTTTTTTCATTGTTTGGTAAATAGATACTACGTTAAATATTTTTTCTTACATCTTATGAAGGATGTGAAAACATAAACATCATGAGGAGTATACTTATGCCTCATTAATTCCTCATGTTTCATAGTTTTAAAAAACTCTCAAGAAGCCTATGCTTCTCTTCATTTCTGGCTCTGCACTTTCTTCCCTTCTGCCATCGCTGTGGAGCTGTCAGCCAGCACACCAAACACTGTGTTCAGCAAAGGCATCATCAGTTTCTCAGGTTTATGGTAGTGATTTAAGGCCAGAAGACCCCAGACTTATCTAGTAATATTTAGTTGAGCAAGTACAGTTGATAAGCAGTCACTTGACAAATCTCCAGTCATTTACTTTGTCTTTGGTTTACTTTCCCCCCAGGGAAAAGTTCTAGATTCCTTAGCATGGGATAAAAACACCCATGTCAGTTTCGTTATTGTCCAGTTACTCAGCCTTGTCTCCTGCCACTGACTGTATTCTGCCCCTTTGCTCTGGCATCTGGCCGGACTGGACTGTTCAGAGTTCCCCAGTGTCCTCCTCACCTCCAGCTCTTTGCACTTGCTTCTTCCCTCCATCTGCCACACTTGTTCCTTGTCCTCTAGGTATCAACCTAGATACCTCCACCAAAAAGCCTACAATATGGACACAAAACTGGGATAGATGGCCCTTCAGTGTGCTCCAGTAGTGCCCTGTTTTATACCTGTCATGGTGTCTTAACCACAATGATAATTAACTCAGTGTACAACTATGGGCACATTATATTTAATAGTAATTTTGTATTGTAGTTGTGCATACATATTTTCATTCTTACTAACGCTGATAAAGTTCTCAACTCCTTTTTACTGACTTTCACTTCATTATTTGTGAAATAGATAAAGAATCTAATTCTCTCTTTTTCCTTTCAGCTGCTGCTGAATTGGAAACTGAATCCTATATAGCTTCTCCTGTAGGATCTACTGACGAATCCAATCTAAATCAAGATCTAGTTTGGAAAGCATCACGGGAATATGTACAGATTTTAAAGAAAAATTATATGATCTGAAAGATAAAATTTTATTACTGGTCTGTTTATATGACACTTTAATTGTTTTTCATTTAATATATAACACATGGAAATCTTTATTAAAGGAAAATATTTTTGTATCATATATGTCTGATGAAAATTTATATAGTGTTTTAAACAATGTTTCTTGGCCTGTTTAGCTAACTTTTAAATGGATCTTTCAAATGAAAATCAATATTAGGTAGTTTTACATACTCAAACTGTCCAAATGTCAGCTGTTTAAATAGCCAAATAACCAAATTGTCATTAATACTTCAGTGGCATTAATCGATGGCTTATTTGTATTTTATAAATTTCATCATTTGATATAGTGATATTTACATGGACATTATTTTGTTGTACTGGCACTGTAGTCATTGTGAATGTTTAAATGTATTATAATTGTTAAAGTGCCGTCAAACTTACATAATTTTAATTTTAAGCACTGATTTATATAAGATCTTTCCTCATATAAAAATAAGGCTTGCCTAAGGCTTTTCACCTTTTTGTTTGTTGGTTTTCTATTTATTTATTTATTTTTTTGATTAATTTTTGGAAACAGCCTTAAAATGAGAGAAAAATTCTAAGTTTTAGTAAAAAGAACTTTTCTCACCAAACCATTTGAGAGTGAATTGGCTGATATACCATCACTCCTGATTTCTTTCATGGGTGTTCCTACAAGTCAGAAAATTCTATATAACTACAATACAACCTTATGATCAGACAGTTAACGTTAATACGGTCTACCATTTAATTCTCATATTCTTGTTAAGCTTTATTAATTCTTTATAATGTCCCTTATAGCAAAAGGATCCCATTCAAATCCATGGGCGGCATTTAGCTGTCACATTTCTTAGACTCTCTCAGTCTGGAACAGTTCCTCAGTCTTTCCTTGACCTTCATGACCTTGAATCTTTTGAAGATTAAAGTCCAGTAATGTATTATAGAATGTCCCCTCAATTGAGTTTATCTGGATGTTCTCTTATGATTAGATCTGGACATACATTTCTTGCAAGAGTATCACAGCCATGATCCTGTGATCTTCTCATTGCATCCCATCCTGTATCTACAGTTTTAATGTAGCATTGGTGACGGTGCTTAGCATGGTCACTGATGGTGGTGTCTGCCGGGGTTCTCCTCGTGTAATTACTTTTTCACCTTGTAATTTAATTAGTATCTCCTTGAGAGGTAAGCTGAGACTATGTAATATCTCTGTTCTTCATCAAACTTCTCAGATTTATTCATTTACTTGTATCAGTATAGATTTATGATTTATTATTACAATGGGTTATAATTTGTTAATATTTTAAACATTTATTTTTCTTTTTAGAAGATGTTCTATTTTGACAATTTGAGGACTTATAGAAAAATTATAAGACTATTACAAGAATTTCTGGGCTGCCATTGCTGAGAATGTTAACATGTTACTACAATTGCTTTCTCCCCTTCTCTCCCTCTGTTTCTAGAGACAACTATAAATAGGCACATAAACATGATTTGTTTTCCTGAGGTGTTTATAGTTACGCAGACATTATGCCTCTGTATTTCTAAATTATTAATGTGGTATTTCCTAAAATGGATTTTTTTACG